AGCGCACATCATTCACTTCTTCGTCTGAAGCTTGTGTCCGCAGCATGGCACACAAACGAGAGGACGCAGTGTCTCGTTCCCCTCAGGGAACCATGGTTACACAAGTAACCTGAGACGTTCCCTTTCGTGGAACTTCGAACTGCGTCCTCTAGGGGTCGCTATGGGGAACGCCTCGTCGTGACCCGTGTCTGAAGCCTACATTGAAAAAACACCAACTTGTTTGGCCGGCGACAGCCATGACGTCACTACCGTCGCGACTAGTACAAAATAGGCGCCGGTAGCGCACATCATTCACTTCTTCGTCTGAAGCTTGTGTCCGCAGCATGGCACACAAACGAGAGGACGCAGTGTCTCGTTCCCCTCAGGGAACCATGGTTACACAAGTAACCTGAGACGTTCCCTTTCGTGGAACTTCGAACTGCGTCCTCTAGGGGTCGCTATGGGGAACGCCTCGTCGTGACCCGTGTCTGAAGCCTACATTGAAAAAACACCAACTTGTTTGGCCGGCGACAGCCATGACGTCACTACCGTCGCGACTAGTACAAAATAGGCGCCGGTAGCGCACATCATTCACTTCTTCGTCTGAAGCTTGTGTCCGCAGCATGGCACACAAACGAGAGGACGCAGTGTCTCGTTCCCCTCAGGGAACCATGGTTACACAAGTAACCTGAGACGTTTGGTTGCAACACGTCAATGGACATGCGTCATAATGGGGACGTTTCCCAATTCTGCAATTTCCTTTGCACTAAAACTGTCTTGAAACAGACAGAATGAATGAATTAGCAGCACTACATGAGATTATGAATGCTTTGTTTCTATATAATATTTAGCACTTTTTAACCAAGCAATTTAAATATATGCTACTGTTCAAAAGGAAGGATTTCTGAAAGATCATGTGACACTGAAGACTGGAGTAATGGCTGCTGAAAATTCAGCTTTGTCATCACAAGAATAAATTCCATTTGAAATAGAAGAACAGAGAACAATAGAAAGCTATTTTAAATGGAAAATGTAAGTTATTTTAAATGGAAAATGTAAATGGAAGTTTAGTGACACTGTATTAATATTAACAAGGCATTTTATACAAAGCATTCAATCACTAAAATAATAAAAATTTTGACTATATACCAGGGTAATCATCTAATAACAAACAGGACCAGCACAACCTCTAGACTTGATTGGTTTGGTGCTTGTTCATTGTGTAATCAGTTTATATTAATGAATGAAAGAAAGAGGTAAAAGGAAGTTCTTGTTAAAGAATGAAAAAAAATTAAATAAATAAATTCAGGAATGTTTAAGGGCTAATATACTGCCTAGAGTTTGACTGCTATTTTAGTGTCAGATAGGAAATATCCAGCAAATGTGCTACAACATTGTGTTGCTTTGTTTGATTCCGGAGAACAGGGGCACATGAGGAACAAGAATAGAAGAGAGTCAGATAGAGTGGGTGGGACAGAGAAAGAGAGAGAGGGAACAATAGAGAGCAGAGCAACAGAAAGTCACTCCATTTCCATCTGAAAGGAGTTCCCCAGCTTGGGCTGCTGAGAATTGAAGGCGAAAATCATTTTCACTTCAGTGGCCTTCTCACATTCTCAAGGAAAGTGGAGGTGGCATCGAAATGTCTACTTATGAAGAAAAATAGCAGTAAAAAACAAGACACAAAGTCTTATCTATCAATGATCAGTTCATGAGATAAGATTTAAGATGATGCTCTGCAATATCATCTGCTAAAACTAATATATAGCTTCTCTTGAATGAATTTGTTTAATACGTGAAGTTCAATCGACATAATTTGTGGCAAAATGTTGATTATCACACAAAATAATTTTGACTAGCAAAATCAACGTTACAGTGATGTAATTGTGAAGCTTAATTTTATAAAAGTACTTACATTAATCCTTCTGTTAAAACTATTGTTTGAGCAGTAAAGATGGGCTCGTGATTTTTTTTAGGTGATTTTAAGCTTTTAGGCATTACACCATGGTGACGAAATAGTAAAACAGGATAAAACTGCATACAGAAAAGGTTAGTAAGTGTGTTTTTTTCCTGCTTAAATCCTTTTAACATGCATATTGTTTATATCTTGTGGCTAAAAGAGAGTATTTTAATGTTTACAGATTGGCCCCATTCACATCAACTGAGTACTTCACACTAACCCAGATTTTTTTTGATCTTTTAAAGAAAATAAGACATATCAAAAATATTTATGCAGTAATTAATATTATGCCAAAAGTGATGAGGATTTAGCTTAGGGCTGAAATATCCCTTTTTTCCACAAGGGTTTTATTTTCCATGTTAACATATAAATTCAGCTTAATCTTCTAGTTCTATAGTGTCCTAAAGTTATAGTTCATCTCACTAAGCACAAACAATTAAATTATTGTATAATGACCTAAAAACATAAACCATTAGAAGAGGTGGGTGTGGGATGTGACCCAGATTTCTCCCCAGAACAAAAAGTCTGTTGGGTGTAGCTGCAGTTTCACAGTTATCAAACATCCATTTGTGCTTTATGTTACGGTGGTACAAAGTCAAGACATGAGAGAAGGAAGCTTTTCAAAAGCCTTTTATGCCTGAAGCATGTACGTAAGCTAATATTTCATATCCTGCTTTCTGAATAAAGAATAAAGTCATGTATCATGGATGGTTTCTTCATTGCTCTGTTTTCCAGCGGGCCGTGTGGATCTCCAGCGGTTCAGTACTGCTCATGGGTTGCAGTGGTCTGCTGATGTCAAATGCCTGTTTGTTTATTCTGAGTCTGACAGCTGCCCTTTGTCATTAGATTAAAGACCTAATTAATTTGTCTCTGCATGACTGCTGGTGCAATGTGATTTAGATTGTTTACACACTTTGTTTCTCATAGATTAATTATGCTGTATTTTGTGGTGTGGCGGTGGGGAGGAGCGTTCCAGAAGCCTCAGTGAGCAAGAGAGCAACATGTTAATCAAGCGAAGGCCCTGAATGAACTCCTATGCTTGACAATGCTGCATTTCATAGACTGGAAATACAGTAAACTCAGTCATAGTTAAATCTTATTACAATTTATGATATTGAAAGATTAAATTATTTTAAAGATTTTCAAATGTAAATTTATTGCTGTGATGTGATGGCAAATTTGAATTTTCAGCAGCCATTCAGTGTCACATGATCCTTCAGTAATAATTTTAATATGCTGATTGCTGCTCAAGAAACCTTCTTATTATTATCAATGTTGAAAACAGCTGTTCTGCTGAATATTTTTGTGGAACCCATAATATATATATTTTTTCAGGTTTCTTGAATCAAAAAATAGTTTAAATGAATTATTTGAAATGAATTATTTGAAACAGAGATCTTTGGAACATTATACATGTCTTTGTCCCCTTTGATCAATTAAACACACCCTTGCTAAGTGAAATATTCATTAAAAAAAAAAAAGTATTACATACCCTAACTTTTGAAAGGTATAATAGCTTAAATGTTAGATGACATATGTGATCTAAAGGCATTGTAAAAGCATAATTTTTTAGGAGTAAGTGCAGAGTTTACTCAAGGTTTTTCACTTCATATTATCTGATAAATGCCTCTCTTATGCTATTGGATGATAAATACACACTGTACAACATCAACAAAGAATCAGACACAACCGCCCCAAGCAAAGTCTGCATGTGCAGCCAAACATGCTGGGAAAAGAGGGTGACCTGAACCTAAATCCAGCGGAAGACTCCATCCACAGAGCTTGAGAAGGTAATGGACAAAATAAGTGGTTTGAAATCTGTTGTTTTAGGATTGTTAATGCTTGTTCAGACTTTTTGATACTGTTCTGCAGCTCTACTGACACTGTACTGAAATTCAATTAAACAGCTAAATGCCAATAATGCTTCTTGATACTTGAATTGTGGTGAAACAGGCCTGATGGGCATGGCTCGGGTTGTGGTTCTCATTCTGTACTTCTCTCTCCCGTGAGAGGGAGGACACAGGCATTGATTTGCAGCCATTTACTGCGGGTTTCTTCTTTCTGTTGCGCTATTCCCTCAAGGAACCTGGAGATATCCACCCACAAACCCCTGCCCCCGGGCACAGACACTCACCCATTATGTGTCTCTGTCCCCATCCCCCTCTCCAGGGAAATGTAAACAGCTTTTCCCTCCTCCGTAGATTTCTCACTCACATCTCACACTTTTCTTTCTTACACATATAGGTCCAGAGGTTTGCATTTGATTGACAGGAAGGTCACACTTGCTTCTCACACTGAGTTAAGATGGGCTGCTTAATATGCATTTTTATATACATACTAACCTATATATATATGTATAAAGTCAACCTTCAAAACAATAAGATTCAACAGAAGCTGCAGCTGAGAAAACAGACCATCAGCATGTTCCACAGGTGGAGGAACACAAAAATCACAAATGTTCCTAAATAATCTCTAGGTTTCTTCTGATTTGGACACATTTTGGCATTCATATTATTATTATTATTTTTGCTTTAAATCATAGGTCTTTTTCACCACAGTTTTAGTATATGCAGAATAGCAATGTGAGTGTGTGACCGCTTGTAGGACTGCAATGTGGAAACATTAAAATGCTTTGTTGCAATATTTTTAGCTTTTCCTTCTGACTCAACAGTCGCTTAATTTTGTCACCATTTCTATCTTTGTTATAGGAAAGTCCTCAGTTGAATCATGTGTGACCAAGAAAGAATCTGTTAAAAATACATCTTGGCTGAAACAGTTTCCAACAGAACTGTGCGAAAGAAAAGCTTTTGCTGACCTCAAAAGTTCTAAACTGTTTCTATCTTTATGAAGGTGTGTTTAATCCTAATTGACTTGAGTGTATACCTTGCATTTAAAATAGGCCTATTATACATTTTTGAGTAAATATTCCTCATGTGCATCATGGGTTCTGTTAAATATGTCAATTACTGGATACTCTTAATTCACTTTGAACATAAAACACGGTACTGAACTTTAACTGAGAGTTATAGGAATGAAGATATTAGGAATGTTAGGTTAGTCTTTATTAGACAAGACGAATGTAAAGATTGCCTTGATGACCTCATTATGGCATCATCTTCAGCTGTCCATTTGGAGGTACTCAGGGAATTGCCTTCTGTCTCCACAAAAGCCCCATGTGAAACCTGATCTTCATCAAAGTTTCATGTAGCCTACAGTGAGGCTCTTATCATCTCGCCTATCAAATCAAGACAAATGACTCTAACAACCCCCTCTAATTAGGAATAAATTATCTTAAAAAAATTTTTTTCACAGTCTGTAACCACAAAAAGGCATCATTAAACTTCTATGTTTATTTAGTATGACTTTGGTTTGATGTATGGGTCTGATGAATAAAGACCAAATTCAAAAAACAAACACATAATATTATATAATTATTTCCTGGAGATTTAAAATGTAGTCAAATTCCAAATTCCAGGTAAGACCACAACCTATCGCTATAATTGTGGCTGTACATGACCAGCCAGGTTTTTAAAATGGGGTTTTTTGTATAGACTGACCATCTCTTTCCTCTTGGGATGAAACCCTAGAGTTATATGGGATAGAAAGACACCATTGTCAGCATGTCTGGAAAGGGGGCTTATTCTCTTAAGCTAATATAACAGAGGGCATGGCTATCCAAACACACACTGTTTGTACAAAAAATTGTAAATTATATATGTATATTTTTGGAGAAAAAACCCCCCTAATAATTTAGGTAAAATTGCAGGATAGTTTGTTCAATTCAAGTGTGCTGAAGGTAAAACACCCAAGCTAGTTCAACTGAAAAGTGATCAGTCTGTTATAGCTCCTTTCAATATTTACAGAAAGCTTTGTAGATTCAAAACTACCTCCCCTTTTAACAGAGCCCAAATAATTAGTTCATGCATGTGAAATTTCCAATTAACCTATAACACATTAGTACAGAAGACAATGTTGTCTATTTCTTCTGAAAACATAAAAAATCTGAGATGAGAGATGTATCCATAGAGATTTATCCTGCTGTACTCACCTCAAATAACTTTTACCCTCATATCACCCTGATAAAGAACATGAGATAAGGTGTTTGCTTTAACACACATTTTAATTGAAAAATACTTCAGGATTCATCTCGACTTTGTAATACACTGACAGTCTAATATCTGATCTACAGTGTTGTACACTACTATCTTGGTAAGAAAAAAGTGCTTAGAGGTGGACCGTGTCACAGGCAATGCCTTATAGTCCATCACTTGTGTTCTTCAGAGTTCCTGTAAATCTAGACGTCTTCATGAGGCCTCATACTCACTCAGGCCCACTGAAGTTACAGTAATTTTGTAAATTACAAGGTCCTCAAACCCCTGTTTCATTCTGGGATTTTGAAGATACAGTTCTTGATAGTGTTCTTAGAAGTTTACTCTATATTCCATAAGAGTCAAAATAAGATATCAAGCATTCCATGAAATGTCACAGCGTTTTTCACAGTGCTTCAGTAGAGAACTCCTTCAAACGGATGACCAGGCTATGCAAATTAATGGCAGCTTAATCGGGACCAGCCCTTTTATATTAAACAAATAATTTCAATTTTTTTTTATTGTTCTTCTGGTTCACCTGCGCCATCACGATCACATGCAACATAAATCCAACTCGACAACAAACAACCATTCCGATGAATGTCAACAGTGCAACGTTGAAATGGCAAACCCAATGACTCAGGCAATGGAAAAAGGCAGGTGCAGGCTTTGTATAGAGAGTTATCGCTTTTTCTTCTGTTTGAGGCTTTTTCGTCGTTTGACTATCATTTCGTACAGTTTGTCCATGCCTTCGTGAAGCCCCTCGCCGATGATGGCACAGGCCGGTTGGATGTGGTACGTAGTGGCAGGCGTGAGCTCCTGGAGCGCCAGCTGCTTCTCTATATCCGCAACAGACAGAGATTTTGGCAGGTCCTGTTTATTAGCTATGACCAACAGCGGCGTTCCTTGGTTTTCAGCGAATTTGGTGACTTTATGCAGCTCCGTCTTGGCCTCCTCCAGTCGATCCACGTCTACAGAGTCCACCACATAAATAATGCCATCCGTGCATCTACTGTAAGATTTCCACAAAGGCCGGAGTTTCTCCTGCCCACCAACGTCCCAAAAATGACAGCTTATTCCTTTGGCCGTGCCGTTGCTCAGCTTGATTTTTTCCGTGTTGAATCCTATTGTAGGCACAGTGTTGACAAACTCGTTGAATTTCAGTCTGTAAAGGACCGTGGTTTTCCCTGCGGAGTCCAAGCCAAGCATCACTATATGGAGAGACTGAAACGCAGATATGTTGGAGAAACTGTTCCCCATTTTGATCTCCTTGTTAGCAGGGGTAAAACCAATGCAGTCCCCTCGGCACCAGAGATTCGACCAGATTCAGACTGGATGTGATGAAGCGATCATTGCAGTGCGCATGAGATCAGCTTGTGATCGGTGAGCGGAGAGTCTCCGCAGTAACAGCTCACATCAACATTACCACCGCAAACTGATGAAAATTCCTCCTGACGGCGCTCGTCTACATTAGCGATGAATGAATGTGATCAGAAATTTCTTCTAGGCATAAGATGAACGCGTCTACTCACGCGATGGACACAAGCGAATGTATGGTAATGAACGGAAGCCAGCAGTGGCCCTGCAGCAGCTGCTCCTCACATTGGAGAAACTCCGCCCGCATTTCATGTGAAAACTGAAAAAAAAAAAAACCTCTTATGGCAAGCTAAATGTTCCTTAAACTGGTTCGTTTCTAAATCCAGAAGAACTGTGGCAAAAAAAACTATGTGCAAGTGCACCAAGGGCAAAAGCTGCTTTAAACACAAGCGATGGTCACACCAAATATTGATTTTAATTTAGTTAATAAAAGTTAATTGATAAAGAAAATCTATTTATGACGTTTTTTGACAGCATCCTCATTTTACAGTATTTTTTAACAGTACTGTAGCTTTGCAGGTAGGTTTCTTGAAGCATCTTGCAGACCTTGCCACAGTTCTTCTGGATTTAGTCTGTCTCAGTTTGTTCTATTTCTTCATGAAAAGATCAGATCTCTGTGTGCAGCACTGGCTGTTGTCAGACTCCTTGTGCAAACAAAAATCTCACTGGATTATTAAAATTAATGACAAAATGAATGTTTGGAAATGTAAACTGATATTTCCCACTGACACACTACAGCAAAAGATAGAAATAACTGACTTAAAAAAATTTTTTTTAGCTGGTGAAAATACTAGTGTTCTAATAATTTTGGCCACCACTGTATATATAATATTTTTTAAATGAACATTTTAATGACAGTATGTTTATTAAACAAAATAATGTATTTTATTTATCAAAATAACCAGAAAATAGTACAAACAAGTATTAACTTACAAGTTATGCAAAACACTTTACTTTAGCTAAAGTATTTTTTTTTAAATCAATACTGCCTTTAGCCCAATGCTGGTTAGCTTTTTACCCTGAGTGTGGGGCAAAAAAGCCCTCCCTGGTCACCTCATACATTTATAAGATTTTTTTTAACAAAACAGACGACTTTTATGGTTTATTTTCCCACAAAAATGTGTTGCTTCATCAACGTTCAATAAAACATATATATTTTTTGCAATCATACACTATGGGAGTAGTGAAAAGCACATTTTCCTTAAAGCAGACCCATTGTACCCTTGCTGGCCAGTGTGGTAGTTTTGAAATAATTATAGTGGGCTATACCTACTAGTGATATTTAAAATGATCCTGAAGTAATGTTTTTTGACAGCATCCTCATTTTACAGTATTTTTTAACAGTACTGTAGCTTTGCAGGTAGGTTTCTTGAAGCATCTTGCAGACATTGCCACAGTTCTTCTGGATTTAGTCTGTCTCAGTTTGTTCTATTTCTTCATGAAAAGATCAGATCTCTGTGTGCAGCACTGGCTGTTGTCAGACTCCTTGTGCAAACAAAAATCTCACTGGATTATTAAAATTAATGACAAAATGAATGTTTGGAAATGTAAACTGATATTTCCCACTGACACACTACAGCAAAAGATAGAAATAACTGACTTAAAAACATTTTTTTTAGCTGGTGAAAATACTAGTGTTCTAATAATTTTGGCCACCACTGTATATATAATATTTTTTAAATGAACATTTTAATGACAGTATGTTTATTAAACAAAATAATGTATTTTATTTATCAAAATAACCAGAAAATAGTACAAACAAGTATTAACTTACAAGTTATGCAAAACACTTTACTTTAGCTAAAGTATTTTTTTTTAAATCAATACTGCCTTTAGCCCAATGCTGGTTAGCTTTTTACCCTGAGTGTGGGGCAAAAAAGCCCTCCCTGGTCACCTCATACATTTATAAGATTTTTTTTTACAAAACAGACGACTTTTATGGTTTATTTTCCCACAAAAATGTGTTGCTTCATCAACGTTCAATAAAACATATATATTTTTTGCAATCATACACTATGGGAGTAGTGAAAAGCACATTTTCCTTAAAGCAGACCCATTGTACCCTTGCTGGCCAGTGTGGTAGTTTTGAAATAATTATAGTGGGCTATACCTACTAGTGATATTTAAAATGATCCTGAAGTAATAAAAATAAGTTCTAGTAACTTAGCCCTTGTAATAAAGTTCTAGTAAAATAGATACTAGTTAGTTTAAAGGATTAATTGGCTTTCCACATAACTCCCCTCAGCAGTCTGTGCACAGGTTAGTGTTCTCTAATTTTCGTGGACGATGGGAGGCATTCGAACAGAAAGGGTGCGTCAACGAGATTGTACCAATTTGACCTGTAACACGTAAGAAAAAAAATGTAAATTTTAGACACGCAATTTCATACCTCACTGAAATAATTTAAATAGGTTGCTAATATTTCCACACCTCACCAGAAATCCTTAAAAAAAGCCTACTAACTCAAACCTTTAAACTTTTACCGGAAAAGGCAGCTATTTGGTAAATCGTCTGGCTAAAATCTTTTCTTAAACGTTATTTCTCATATAAATTTAGTCGTCCCTGACTTACAATGTGGCTATTTATATATATATAGCCATCTGGCGTCCATAGTAGGTACTCAATTTTTTTTCTATATCCGTGTTTTTTTAAACGGAAAAGTCATATGAAGTAGCTACTTTTGACAAATCAATACGCCAAAGTATTCCAAACCAATGATCAATGCTATTACTATTAGGTAAACTATCCCCTTACGAAAATTAACCATGGTTTTACTACAAATAAAACAAAAAAAACCATGGTATTTGTAGTAAAACTATGGTTATACAAATGGTAATCAATGAGCCAAAAAACAATGGTTACTACACTTTTACTATAATAAAACCATGGTTAATTATAGACTGAAAAGTTACAAGAATTTTCCTAACTTTAATCAGTTAAAAGAACTAAGAACTGCTACTAACCAAAAACTCATGGACGTCCTATCTTAAACATATGACAACAATCGTTAATGTTAGATTTAAAGATATTATTTAATCAACATTTGCTAAGTTTGACAACAAACATGCTAAATTCGGATGTTTCAAGGAATTGTCTTTACACTGAGTAAAACTTTGTCCTTTATATTAACTGTTTGTCCACTAGGTGGTAGATGTGTGATGGAAATGTTAGAGGAGAAATTACTGGGAACTGGCCTTATTTTTTAGTTTCCCATTTACCTATTTAGGCAGTAAAATGACTCAGAATGTAACATTCAATCGTGAACTGCTCTAATTGAAATCTTACAATAATGGACTATTTATAGAATATTTCAGAACACTGTTCTTTATAGCATTAGCATGGAGAGAAAGAAAAATGAAGCAATGTACTGAGGCAAGCCATTTGTCTTTGTCTTCCTCAACAGAACTGAGGAGAAAAAAAACTCCAGTGCTCACTGACCTGAGAAGGAACACAGTTTATTTATGGCATATCACAGCAAACACAGACACATTCATAAACACACACTTGCTTGACTGTGTCTGCGGAATACCTGTTACAACTGTATACAATCTTCAGTTGACTGTACATGTTCATTATATCACACACACACACACACACACCTACATCTTTCAGATTTTTGTGGGTAGTCCAGGGCTCTCCCCAGAGAGTGAGAGAGGGTACTGATGAAGGGCGTGTGATGTGAACTATGCTGTCTGCATGTCTAGGGGAAGATGTAAGCTTATTTATGTAAGACCCACAGTGATGACTGTTTACACTGGTCATCATTTTTGTTGGGAGAGCCTGTCAAGCAGCGAGAAAAATAATGCTGGAGTGATAAGACTGGAATTCCCACACAGCAAGTATAGGTTTGTAAAACTCTCAGTAAGCACATCAAGAAAAACTTAAAACTTACGATAATGTTTAATGTTACACTTTGACTGCGACCAGATTAATATTTTTAAGTGGGTTTTGTCACACAAAGTCATCATATCAAGGACATGCCATCTACACTCAACAATTAACTCTTTCAAATGTGATAGTTAAAGTCAACTTGATACATAAGCTCTTTGGAGGAAAGGTGGACAGAAATGAAAGGTTATTTTCAGCATGTCAGTGAGGTTAATGTATGTATTGTAAATTTATGACAGGACAGTATCCTAGAATCTGCACAGTAAATGTGTAAGCAAATCTACTGTGACATGCTGTGACCTTGTACAATGCATGATAGGAAGATGCATATCAGAGAGACATATAGGCTAGAAAAACATGACAACATTTTGTATTTTCTACAAGGTATAGTTTCAACATTTAGTTTCCACATAATACTTAAATATATGATTTATTACATTTAAAATTTTCACTCAAAGTAAAAATATATAAATTCAATTATTTATTTTAACTTTGAATGAACAAAAGTGTTCAACTGATAAATTTGCATTGGATTTACATGGACCATCCCTTGGAACATCAAACTAAATCTTATGAACAGGACAGTATCCTAGAATCTGCACAGTAAATGTGTAAGCAAATCTACTGTGACATGCTGTGACCTTGTACAATGCATGATAGGAAGATGCAAATCAGAGAGACATATAGGCTAGAAAAACATGACATTTTGTATTTTCTACAAGGTATAGTTTCAACATTTAGTTTCCACATAATACTTAAATATATGATTTATTACATTTAAAATTTTCACTCAAAGTAAAAATATATAAATTCAATTATTTATTTTAACTTTGAATGAACAAAAGTGTTCAACTGATAAATTTGCATTGGATTTACATGGACCATCCCTTGGAACATCAAACTAAATCTTATGAATATAATGTGCATTTTGGGGGGAAAACAGTGCTGTTTGGAATTATCATAACAATCAAATGGACTTTTTTAAATAACAGTTTTTCTGCTATCTTCGTATATTCTGCACAAATTAAAGCCATTTACGATGACATCAATATCAAACAAGAATCACTCGTCATTTAATCAGAAATCTTTGATAGTAGGCCAACATTCTTATCAAGACACACCAAACTCCGCGGCAGCTTTAATTCGTACGCACCTGAAGGCGGGATAGCAGCACGCGCAAAAACGTTTCGACTTCCGCTGCACCTTGTAGTTGAAATCCTTGAACTGTAAATTTAAAATTGTGCGCCATAAATGAAAGTTACATTACTATTGCAATACAACGAGTGTTCCAAATGTATAAACGGAGTTTATACGGAACTTATTAACAAAGCGGAGACGTTTAAATAACAACACACACTAAAATGGTCAAAAGGCAAATGTTCCGCCTCCAGCGTCCCAAATTAATGGTGAGTAAATCTTTTAATATCTGTAAACTGATGACTAGATGATTTAGTTATAGGCCAACATGTGCTGATGGAAGAGTTTGAGTTTTACGTTTTATTTACAAGTGGACTAAAGTGATCCCATTACTTTATTATGTGGTGTATATCTTTATTAAGCTGATAATGTTTTATTTTTCCATTTTACTTTTCATCCTAACATTTACTTTCACTTATAAAAACATCAGGCGACTTAAAACTAAACAACATAAACAATAGACACTTAGAGCAAAGTAAAACAGGCAGTTTAGCATACAGTGTTGGCATCGCAAAACATAAAAGAGTACGATTGTTACAGTATTAGTGAAAAATGTAGAAGTATGTAAAAGTGTATCTTTTGTGCAAAATTTAGTATAAGTATAAAATCATGATGATATGCAATGAATAAAAAATCTGAACAATCATATCTTATTTTACATTAAAGTTTTACATGAGATAGAGACCTTTGCTTGTATTAAAACATCAGCAATAGGCCTACACTTTTCAGTAATTTGGTTCAATGTACAATTTACTGTGCAACAAATCTATTGTGCAAACATATAAGTGCTTTTAAGAATATTAAAAACAACACAATGAATAAAATTGAAATCAGGTCTGTCTGGGTCTTGTAAACGTCAGGCGATGTAAGCAGTCTTTATATGGCGCAGTCATCTTGAGAGCAGGGGCTGAAAGCGGAGCTCCGTAGAAGATCCAGACAGTTGACAAGGATGAGGGAGCCTGTGATGTGCCTCCAGCGCTTGGTAATAGGGTTCTTCATTTTGTCCAATCCAGTGTGAAGTTCTTGAATCACATCCCTGTAACTGTCCCCAATCTGGGCTGCCCACGTGACCAGGAAGTCATAGGCAGGTTTCCACATGGCCTTTACAAAAGAAAAAAAGTAAAGATTTAAGTTTGACATGTAAACCTCCATGAATGGGACATTTATGCACCCTCAATTTAGTTTCCTAAAAAGATTATACCCAATCCGTATGCTCTCCATTAAGAGTGAATGTGTGCAAATATTCTAAGCCAGTAAAACAAAGCCCAAGAGGAAGCTCATAATCTCATCAATTGTTGGTAGAACATTTAGGTTCCTCTTCTGAGCTGGATGCAAACACATTAATCATGACTTGTGGGTTTCCTGTAATTTGTGCTTAAAACCCAGTTATACATTTTACAAGTGTCAGTTACCATCTCTCTCACCCATCTCACTTGGACATTGTTCTTTATCTATTTTTATAATGCAAAGGATTGAACATTCTACAGTTTGTATATACTTTATATTACTTAACTTTATGTTTACATACTCTGTCTGTTTTGTTTGCACAGTTGTCTGTACTGTCACTGATCTACAGTTTGAGCCACGTCATAAGCTTTTTAATGCGCACTAAACGCTGTGTAAACTGTGCAAACAGACTCGACACTTCTTTTCCAACCTGACCACATGAGAAAACATAAGTATTTTACAAGGTGGCATAATTAAGCATTTTTTCTATGAATTTGTATGATGTGATTCGTACAAAAACATAAAATATATATTGTTTTTAAAAAAGTAAACATGAAGGTCCACCTCTAATCCAACTCTAAATGTAAGTAGGGTGTAAGCAGATCATACAAAAACACAGTAGGACAGTTCACCAAAATGACATTATTTCTTCTGTGAAGCATAAAATGAGACGTTAAGCAGACAGATAGTTTCAGTCATCATTCACTTTCATTGCATTAAAAAATTCTTGTGTTCCACTGAAGAAATAAAGTCATACAGGTTTGGAAGAATGAGGGTGAGTGAATGTTGACAAAATATTCAGGTTTCGGTGAACTATTTCCTTCAATGCTTTCAGTGTTTGTTTTACCTCACTGTCCAGTTGTCCCCTGCTGTCTCTGTGTGGAGCTTCATACGCTTCCATCTGCTGCCGGGACACTTTAGCCAGTCTCTCAGCAAGCTCCCTCCAGCGACCCGCCACCTCCACCGCTGTAGTCAACAGCACAAAGTCCATGACCAGCCGTGCCACCAGGCCCTGACAGTCCATCTTCAGAAGAGCCTGAATGACAGATATACAGTCAGATCATGAGTTTATCATCACCAAGCCACTATGCAAAGATTATAACTCTGCTTTACTTTAGTCACTGTGTTTTAAGTCACAATTTGAATAATATTAAACTCCCAAATGTCAGTTTTGTAATGTCAAAAAAATCATAGATAATGATTAGTAATGAATTCCTACTCAGAAATATGACTTCAGAGAGAGGCCTAACCATGTCTAATACTTGTTATAGTTTGGGATGCACAAAATATGGGATTTTTTTGGGGCTTATTATGGATATTTAATTGTGCATTCTGTTTTTTTTCCCCTTTTTTGTTTTTTTACATTCAGGATCATCTAGCACTTGCTTGAATTTATAATTTAATAACGCTTATAAAGGGATACTTATAAAGAAAGATACTATCTTTCTTAAAAGAAGATTTTTTGAAGATTGTTTTAACTGCTTTATCTATACAATGAAATCAGTGGTGTCCAAAACCACACTGGATATCGCATCCACTTGGATGATGCGACGGCAGCCACAGGACAACGGCGCCAGTGCGCTCACCACACACCAGCTACAGGTGGAGAGGAGAGAGAGTCATAGAGCCAATCAAGTGGTTGGGGATTATTAGGAGGCCATGATTGACAAACACCAGAGGGGCAATTTGGCCAGGACACCGGGTTACACCCCTACTCTTTACGAGAAATGCCACAGAATTTTTAATGACCACAGAGAGTCAGAACCTCGGTTTAACGTCTCATCCGAAAGACAATATAATAAAAGAAAAGAAAAATACATAGGCCTATATTTTTTCATATTTGTTTATTTTATTTTTCTTTATAATGAAGTAG